GGGAAAAAAAAAAAATAATAAAAATAAAAATAAAAAAAATTGACAGTCTACAGGGCATGCAACTTTTGAGTCATTGCCAGCTTCAGACCCTGTTGCAAGTAATTGAACAAAGCAGCAAATCGTGCAGTGCCCCATGGACAAGGCAGCTTATAGCAATGCATGTGGCCATGTGGGTAGCCACATGTGGGCAGTCAAGTTCGAACTCCACTGGTACACACCTGAACTGTTGAAATACAGACCAGGTGCTGAGTTCAAACTCCACTGGTACACACCTGAACTGTTGAAATACAGATCCAAGTTTGAACTCCGCTGGAAGCAGATGAGTGAAATTATACTAGAATTCTGAAGTATGTAGGCCTGGTCAGTTCGACGATGACCTCAAGTCCGTCGCCTTTCAGAAAGAAAGAAAAAGTAGAGGGAAACTGTGGTTGTGACACACTTTTAGTTTCAAATATTAGCCAAGAAAAGATGAAGTGGCGCTGGTGTCATGGTGTGAGTTTCGAAATGTGCAAGCTTAGCGGGGGTCTAAAACAGCGCCAGTCATTCATTACCCGCACTGGCAGTGGCGCTTGGCAGAAGTAGGGTCGCCTTTTTTGCTCCATTAAATTTTTCGGGAACTGCTAAGGTTGCCTATTCTAAAAGTTGGGTGTAAAAAAAAAAAAAAAAAAAAAAAAAAAAGTTGGGTGTGACTGCAGCAACATGCTTGCGCCCAAAAAAAAAGAATAGAAGAGTCTGGGCGAGCACAGTACGGACTAGTCACTGTAGTCAGCATATAACAAGGCAAGCAGATGCTCAGGAGGACAGGAGGGGACGCACACAACGACACAGTGAGGCACACAGCACAGCGCACAGCGACAAAGCGGGGCACAGAGGAATGCCAGCCAGACAAACAGCAACAACAACTTGAAGGCAGAAAACACCCGTGGACGCAGCAACGATCAAAGAAGACGATCGTCCACTTTTATGATATGGAAAACCCACGGACGCAGCAACGATAAAAGCAGACTGTGGGTGCGCACCACCATCAAGAGCGACGAAGCCGAAGCCACAAGAGGGATTTCTGCCACCACCATGAAATGGTATACAGCGACCATCACATCCCCGTATGGCAGCCACCCTAAAAGTGCTGTAGGCAGTCAGAACAAATATGAGCTGAGCATTTGGGACATTTGAAATGTGCTAGACCAGGAGTGAAGAGAACACTCCCAAAACAGAGAGAAAACTTTAAGTAGATAAGGGGTAACTACGACGCTGTCACGTTTTCCCATTACTTGATAAAAATAAATTTAAAAGAGATGTGACTCACATCAGGTGTGTGTGTGTGTGTGTGTGTGCGAACGAAAAAACAATGTGAATGTGTGTGCGTGTGCGTTTGTGTGTGACAGCATGTGTGGTGACATTTGTTAAACGCAACTGAAACAACAACAAAAAAAAAAGCATGACTGTGCCTGACTGTTTCGTCAGACTTTCACGGGCTCATCAGGAGGTTGCCCACGATGCGCATTTGACTGATGGATAAGCGCACCCACCGAGTCGCCCAGCAGTAGCAACTTAGTGATAGTACCCTGAGAGAGAAAAGTGGTCATGATGAGGAGGTTAAACCTGGACAGAGTCTGCCCAGGATGTTTTGGACCCCACATACGCAACAGTTACTCCACAAAGACAGGTAGACTGTGCCAGACTGTTTCGTCGGACGTTCACCGACTCATGAGAAGGTTGAACCTGGACAGACAGTCTGCCCAAGACGCATTTGACTGATGAATAAAGGACTCACCACATCACCCAGAGTTAGCGATACCAGTTCAAAGTAGTGCTCTTTGGAAAAGTGTACACGGTAAGAGCATTTCAATTCGGGCCTGGGCTGGTAGCAAAAGGGGCATGCGACTTTGAAAAGGCGGAGAGGCGGTTAATGGAAGGCCCAAAATTCGGCGAATTTTGACGAATTTTTCACCGAAACTGTCATATTTCCCTCAATTTTTACTCTTTTTTCAGTTTTTTCTTTTTGCCTGTTATATGTGTGCTTTAGGGTATATCTGTATTCAGTTTCGCCATTAACCGGTAGTGCTGCACTGTTGCAGGGTCGCAAGCCTTGGAACGAGGGGGTTCGTCAACTTAGGCTTGCCAGTGTTGCCAGTGTGTGAACTGGGGGGTCAAGATAGAGCTAGGCTAAGCGAGATTACGCTCTGATTGGATGATGATTGTATTAAGAAATGCATCGTCTGCTCGGATTGGTCATGACCCGACAGGTGACGTTGGAGCTGCAGAAGTGCAAGCCCACAGTGAATGGGGCACCAAGGATGAACTGAAACAGACTTCAAGTTGTGTGCTGACTATGGAGAGGAAGAGGAGGGAGATAAGGGCGGAAGAGGGCAGAGCGAAGGAAGGGCGGTAAATGGTGAGGACAGATAAAGAGGGAGGACGTAGACATGATTGTACATGGTGCGCGGATCATCCGGGCCGGATGTGAGGTTGGAGAGGAGAGAAAAGAAGAGAGAGACGGACAGATAAGAAACTTCAAAGGAAGAGGGGAGAAACGGAGAGAGAGAGGGAAGAACGAGGAAGAGCAAGAGAGGTACTAAGAGCAAGGAGGACACGGAGGGGAGAACAACGAAGAGAGGGGGAGGGGGATAAGTGGGAGGGAGGGAAACCAAGATTTAAGAAGGGATGCGGAAAGGTAGGTGTGTGAGGAGGTGGGGGGTTAAGGTGATTTGTAAGGAGGGATGAAGGAGCCAGGGGAGGATAGGAGTAAGGGAGAGGAGGATCATGGACGAGGTAGAAGGGACGGGGAATGGAGCAGAATGTGGAGCAAACACCTGGAGGACACACGCACACACACACACACACACACAGAGAGAGAGAGAGAGAGAGAG